GGTATCAGTTGCAATGTCTCCATTTTCATTTCTCATTGAGCTTATTTGAATCATCTTTCTTTTCTCAGTTACTCTAACTAGTAGTCTGTCAAAGTTGTTTATCTTTTCAAATAACCAACTTTTCATTTCATTGATCTTTGGTATTATTTTGGGGCCTTCAATTTTATTTTTTCTGCTCTGATCTTTGTTATTACTTTTCTTGTGATAGTTTTGGATTTGGTTTGTTCTTGTTTTATAGTTCTTTGACTTGTGGTGTTAGGATGTCAATTTATGATCTATATGACTTTCTGGTATAGACATTTAGCACTACAAACTTCCCTCTCAGTACTGCTTTTGTTGTATCCCAGATGTTTTGTGTCACTGTAATAATTAATTGAAAAAAGAAAATTTCCATCAGGTTGCCTAATTTCCATGTATTCATATACTTTTGGGAGTTCTTCTTGGAATTAATTTCTAGTTTTGTTTCACTGTAGGCTGAGGAGATATTTGATGTGATTTCACCATATCAAGGAATGTCTGCAAGGGATCCAGTGATGTTAAAGACACAAGGGTTGGAGGTCCCTGAGCAGAACAAAGTCCCACAGTGAGTGCGTACCAGGTATGGTGTCCACTACTACAGCTAAGTTCCAGGGGAGAAAGGAAGGGACCCTATATGAGCTGGTAGCTCAGTGTAATACTCTGGAAAAGCCCTCAAACTGCAGCCCACTCCAGTATTTGGGCCCACAAGGGCAAAGAAGCTCTCCTTGAGTTCAGATACCAAAAGTCTGCTGCCAGGACTAGAGAGGCTGAAAGCACTTACCCTTTCCACAGATTACTCATTCTCTCAGGGTGTGATCTCTGCCAGCTTTTTGTTTCTTTCTTTTTTTGTGTCATGGATTCCTCCGGGGAACTTTGTGATAGGCTCTAGTACATTTGATCTACGATTATTCACTTGTAATGTTGGTTTTAGTTCTGAGGAGAATTGATGACTGACATCTCTAGTTGGCCATCTGGAGAAGCTCTCTAATGCCTTACAGCATGGACTAGTCCATGGGACGTACAGTGGCTTAGGCTTCACTCTTAGCTCCAGAGTAGCTAATGTTGGGTAGAGCTGGAGTAGGTTGACCTTTCCTTTTGTCTCTAGTGGCAGGTGCAAGCACCAGCTCTGATGGGGTTGGCAGAGGACTGGCATAGACACTGTAAGATTTTGTTGGTTATAAATATTACTGGAGTGTATTTCTTAACTGTCAGCTGTCGTAGTAATGTACTGGGTACATGAGCAGGTACAAGTCCCCCTTGTAGCCGGGTGTGTGTGAGCAATGGTATTAGCTGAGGTCATGCAAAAGTTTTCTCCTTCTCAAGCACTGTGCTACTGTGCCAACAGATTTTGTAGTGGCTGTAATTGTGTTGGTTGATCTCCGGCTAGGAGATGGCACTTGCAGGAAAGAGCCAGCTGCAATCACGGTACTGGGATTTATGCTGAGCCGTTGTTACCCAGGGCAAGCAATCAGGTAATGGGCAGAGACCTATCACCTAAAAGTCCCTGTTCCTGCTCTGCTACCAGGGCAGGTAGAGGGGCAAAGCTAGGTCAGGAAAGTCCATACTTCTGCTCCCCATGTGTGGGCACAAGCAGCAGTTTCAATAGGGGTTGGTGGACAGTTCTCTGGCCACTGGGATAGTTCCAGTGAGAAGCAGGACCTCCTGTGCTTCAAAAGAGTCCCCATGGGGGGAGAGGGCCAGGCAATAGATGGCTGGTAGACTGGCCCAGCTCCCCATGCCCTTCACACAGCAGGTTTCATCCATGCAGATTTCTGCTGATAAAAAGCCACAACAGTCAGCTAGGTCCCAGAGAATCCATGTTCAGAACACAAACCCACCCCAGGTTGCAATACTTTTAAGTGGAGACTGAAAATGAAATAGTGGCTCTCAGGCCACACCCCTCTTGATTTGGCATGTGGAGCAGGAGTAACCAGCTCCTATGGTCCTGGCAAGAAAATGCTTCCTGCTTGTCCCTTGGTTCTGGAACTGGAGGATTCATACTCCACTCAATATTAAATTGCATTTCTCAGTTGGGAGCTTCTCCCAACATGTGACCACTGCCTAGATTGCCTGGCTGATTTCTGCAAGGTCACCTCTGAATTAGGATTTAGAATATCTTCCTTCTTTCCCTACTGGGGTCTGGGAATGCACACATAGCACCTCCAGGTACCACTCCCCTCCTGTCTAAGTCAGCTCCAGTGTTGGGTAGAGTGAAGATAGTCTCCCCCTTTCACATTCTGAAGACTCAGTTCCCCATCTGATACTTGGGTCAAATTGCTGCCCGTCTCTCCTTTCAATTTTCCTGTTGAGTTCCTGTGTTGGGTAAAAATTCACAGTGTAAATCTTTACATACTATTTTGCTGTTTCCAAGCATGTGGGGCACACTCACAAAGCCTCCAATCTTCTATCTTGGGGGGAAAAAAAAACAAAACATGCTCCACATTATGAGTAGAGTGTCTACCAAAGTTTTTGGAACTCTCACACTGAACATGTGTCTATTCTTCTCCAATTATAGTTATTTTGTGCAGTCATTTTTATGTCATTGCACAAACGAATATTTATTTTACTCTTTACATCTACTACTTCATTTATTTGATTGTTCAAATTTTTCCACTGTTGGCTATTGGAAGGTCTTTTCTTTGGATCCTCTGTCATTTTGAAACACCACCATAATTAAGTTTTGATATTGTTATGTGGTTGGTTAGTTGTTTACATTTTATTGTCTTCTGAACTACTAGGTGCTCAGCCTAATTGTGTTAATTTCCTTGCAAGCCTAGTATTAGCCATTTTTTTCAGAGTCCTAGTTATTTTTATTGGAAAATTTAATTAGAAATGGAGATATTGGACCTGGGTGTATTCAGTGCTCCTGGGGCATCTCTATTGAGTCCTGAACTTGTCTGCTGACAAAGTCCACACTCCTGCTCCCCATGTATGGGGATACACATATTCAAATATGTGTGTATGTGTTTGCGTCTATATACACATAGATACACATATATGTATAAATATTTTATCATGTATCCGTACATATCTTTATTAAATTAAACATGCATTCCTAATAATGCTGCAGCTCCAGCATTGGATCTAATCCAGTACTATATGCATCAGTGCACCTGTTACCACTTACTTGTATGTAGCCTACCACTTTTACAGTAATAAAGATGGTTCTGTTACTTAATCACTTAATCCAAAAGACATGTATAGTGGTTTCAGAATTGGAAATGTACACTACCCTGAGAAAGAACTCTACCAACTAAAGTACTTATGGATGAATCTTCACTCTTTAGATTCAGAATAGCCACTTATTTGCTAAGTCACTTGGGTCAGTTGCTATTTCCTTACTCCCTTCTGTGAGGTTATTTCACTGAAGTGTACAGTTTTATTATGGCCATTGTCCCATGCTATCTCCTACCTACTGTATAAAGTTTTTAATTTCCTCATTTATATTATAAAGTTATTTAACATTTGTAAGATATAATTATGTATTTATCATTACAGTATGATACCAGTATGATTTCACTTCCCAGAGGAAATCTACAGTACCTCACCAGTTTGAACTGCCTCTTCTGAGCCCCCAGTAAATACCAAATATTTGTCTCTATATTTTTTCACTTTCTGGGGTGTCACATAACTGTAATCATACACAGTATTTCACCTTTTTTAATTTGCTTTTTTTTCCTGCAGTATGTCCACCCTTTAGATTTGTGAAATGTATCTCATAGTTGTTTAGATTTACATTCCCTTATGACAAAAGACTTTAGGCCTCGCATCCTGTGCTTAGTGGACATGACTGTAGCATCTCTGCGGAAATGTCTATTCAAATAATTTACCAAGTTGATTGTGATATTTGCCTTTTTATCTTTGAGTTGTAAATTTTTTGTGTGTGTTTTGTGGATAATATACCCTTTTATACTATATGATTGTGAATATTTTCTTCTACTTCAGCTGTCATATCGTAGAAATAAGAGAAATTATTGTTTAACCTAAGAACACAAATATGTATTTCTATATTTATACATATTCTGTATTTCTATATTCTATATTTCTATATTATATTGTTTCACCTGAGAACACAAGCACGTATTTCTGTATTTCTATATTCTAGATTTGGTCTCTTTAGCTCTCGTATTTGGGTACATAATCATTTTGAGCCAATTATGTGTATGTTATGAGAGAGAAGTTCAGCTTGCTTGTGGATATTCAATTGTCCTAACAACATTTGGTGTGAAAATATTTTCCATATTGAATTGACTTGGCAATCTTGTAAAATTATTTGATTATAAAGGTAAAGGTTAATTTTTGGACGTTCAATTCCATTGTATTCCTTTGATTTGTGTATTAATTTGTTTTCACTCTGGTATAAATAACTACCTGACACTGGGTAATTTAAAAAAAGTTTTATTTGACTCACAGTTCCACATAGTTGGGGAGGCCTCAGGAAACTTAAAATCATGGCAGAGGATGAAGGGGAAGCAAAGCACATCTTACATGGTGGCAGAAGAGAAAAAGCCAGCAAGGAACTGCCACACACTTTAAACCATCAGATCTTGTGAGAACTCACTGTCATGAGAACAGCAAGGGGGAAGTTCATTCCCATGATTCAGTTACCTCCCATCAAGTCCCTCCCCTGACACAAAGGTATTACAATTTGAGATGAGATTTGGGTGGGGACACAGAGCCAAACCATATCAATCTGTATGTATGTGTTTATACTAGTACCACAAATCTTTATTTTGATTGCTTTGTAATAACTATTGAAATTAGGATATATGAGTCTATATTGTGAACTCTGCTTTTCATTTGAAATTTCTTTTGGCTGCTTTGCATTATTTTGTATTGTATTACACCTGAATTTTAAAATCAGCTTGCCCAGTTAGAAAAAAAATGTTACCTCACATTTTTATAGGGATTGTAATATATCTGTATGCCAATTTCGAAAATATTGACACTTAGTAATATTAAACTTGTGTTTACTTTTCTAGGCTAATTAACCTATCTACATCCTCCACTATAATGTTGAAAGCAGGTGTGAAGAGTGAACATCCTTGTCTTGTTTATAGTCTTGGAGAAAGTATTGAGCCTTTTAGATAAATTATGACATGTGAGTATATAACATGATGACATGGATGTCCTTTAAAGAAAGGTTCCTTATTGGCATATTTGCTCTGTATTGTTATCATGAATAGATTTTTGACTTGTCAAGTGCTTTTTCTGCATCTTTTAGATGATCATGTGGCTTTCATTTTTGATTTTATTAATATAGGGCATGACACTAATTATTTTATATGTTGAACCAAATTTGCATTCCTGAGACAAATACCTTTGGTGATGGTGTATAATTCATTTTACATTTGCTGATTTGTTTTGCTAGCATTTTCTTGAGGATGTTTGCTTTTACATTTACAAAACATATTGGTCTTATTTTTTTTCCTTGAAATGACTTGCTTTAGTTGTAGTATTAATATAAACTGTTTGAGTGTACATTATGAGGTGATCTCACCTCCACTTATTTTGTAGTTGTTTAAGTTGTATGAAGAATTTGTGATAGATTGTTATTAATTATTTAAAGGTTGGGAATAATTCACCAATGAAGTCATCTCAACTAACACAGGGCATTGACCCCTGACAACAATCACATGAGGTTGGAAGAGGATCCTTCCCCAGCTGAACCTTCACTTGAGATCTCATCCTTGGCCATCATCTCTATCTGGATTCATGATTCAGAGAAACTGTGAGTAATGTGTGTGTGGTTTAGAGCCACTTAATGTGCAATAATTTATTACATAGCAATAAATAATATACCTGACAGTAAATGCAGTATATCCTCTACAGAAAAAGGACATTACTGCAAAGTCTAGTCACATATGGAAGAAGTGTATGCTTCAATAAATAGTTTTGTACCAACTATTTATTTAAAATAATTTTATAAATATATAAAAAATAATTTTTATAAATAACTGGTAGAAAACTATTGAAGCATACACTTTTTATATTTATATTTATAAAAATAATTGGTATAAAACTATTTATTGAAGCATAGATCTTTTCCATATTTTACTAGATTCATGGTTATATAAGATGTTACACTGCTGGTAACTCAAGGATATACAGAACTCTTTGTACTATCTGTGTATCTTTTTGTATACTTAAAACTATTTCATGGAAAAATCTTCTTTAAAAAAGTATCACATTTTTTTTCTTTGAGATAGAGTTTCGCTCTTGTTCTCCAGGCTGGAGTACAATGGTGCAATCTCGGCTCACCACAACCGTCACCTCCTGGGTTCAAGTGATTCTCCTGTCTCAGCTTCCCAAGTAGCCGGGACTACAGGTGCACACCACCATGCCCAGCCAATTTTTTTTTGTATTTTTAGTAGAAACGGGGTTTCACCATGTTGACCAGAATGGTCTTGATCTCCTGACCTCATAATCTGCCCGTCACAGTCTCCCAAATTGCTGGGATTACAGGCATGAGTCACCGCACCCAGCCAAAAGTATCACTTTGATACAAAAAAATTCCAAAACAGGAACAGAATACCTTTGGTTCAGAAGATGAAAGGGCATGTAAAGAGAGAATAGCGAAGAAAAGCATCTTTCCTTTTTTTTAGGTTCAGCCTCACTCTATTGCCCAGGCTGGAGTGCAGTGGCGCGATCTTGGCTCACTGCAACCTCTGCCTCCCAGGTTCAAGAAGTTCTCTGCCTCAGCCTCACAAGTAGCTGGGATTATAGAAGCCCACCACCATGCCCAGCTAATTTTTATATTTTTAATAGAGACAGGGTTTCACCATCTTGGCCAAGTTGGTCTTGAATTCCTGACCTTGTGATCCACCCCCCTTGGTCTCCCATAGTGCGGGATTACAGGCATGAGCACCATGCCCAGCTGCATCTTTCCATATCTGTATACCAACTTGAACACAGGTACAATCTTCCTGCTTCAGGAAGATTCCTTCAAGTTCCCAGGGACTCTCATTCTCTTTCATCTTCCTCATCATATTTCACATTTTTCAGTCACCAGTTTAACATCAATAACCAGTTTTTCAAAGGTAGGTGTTCATGCCTCAAATATCTCAGAAAGCCTCATTTCCAGATATCATTTAGCAGGACTCAAACAAACAGACTAGAATTTATTCAGAGCTTGCAGTGAGGAGTGCCTTAATGCCAACATGACCATGTTGAGAACAGCACATCCTCTTGTGAATGAAGCATTCATACAGAACAAGTTGCAGAGACTCAATAACATACGTCTGCTGTACAAGTAAGGTAACAATTAATATAATCTAAAATTTTGGGGGGAACATAAGGGACATTTGTTAAAGATTTATGAGATGTGAGCAACCAATAGCGTGTGAACACTGGTATTTTACAAGTACTCTAAATCAGTAGATGGGCATTTAATTTGCCAGTTAGGGCTGCATTCAGGGTCTCTGGGCTTCAATGCCGTACACGAAGAATTTCAATGACAGATTTTGGTAACAACAATAACAACCCCTCATCTATTATATTGTGGCCTGACACCATTTAACTTTATTTCACTGCATATAAAGACCAACTCTATACTCCATGCAAACTAAACAGTGGAATTTGTATAGTGAAGAACAAAGACAAACTTTTCCAAATTTAAAGGAAACTGGAAGTTTTATAGGGAAACAAATAGCGGTAAAATATTTTTGTTTAATTCTTACTTTAGCTCACGCCTGTAATCCCAGCACTTTGGGAGGCCGAGGCAGGTGGATCACGAGGTCAAGAGATCGAGACCATCCTGGTCAACAAGGTGAAACCCCGTCTCTACTAAAAATACAAAAAAAATCAGCTGGGCGTGGTGGCGCATGCCTGTAATCCCAGCTACTCAGGAGGCTGAGGCAGGAGAATTGCCTGAACCCGGGAGGCAGAGGTTGCGGTGAGCCGAGATCGCGCCATTGCACTCCAGCCTGGGCAACGAGAGTGAAACTCCGTCTCAAAAAAAAAAAAAAAAAATTCTTAATTTAAAGATAATTGTGTTCTGCTCTTTTAAATCGAAAGCTCTACTTTCATTATTTTATAATATAGTGAGTTTATCAGCCACATGTATGAAAATAATATAGGAAAGGTAGTTTTGTGTCAACATGGGTTGTTTATTCACCTTATACACATTATTTGCTTCACCTCTAATGCTTATTTCTTAGCCTTGGTTTTAGTGCAAGATTTAAAGGCCTCAGTCTCATGCAATATTAAATATTCATTCAAATGACTTTTCTTTCTGCTTTGCCTTTGTTTCTGAATTGCTCCTGTACTTTTGTGATCCGTATTTTAGTGAGTAATGTTGGCAATGGCAGTTCTGCCTGTACAGATACTGGCATGGATATTGTCTCCCATTCTTACCACTGGATGTGGAGAAGGCTTCAAAAAATTTAGCCAACCTGTTCTCATCTCTCAGTTCCATCTTCTCAACTCAGAACGTCTTCCAAAGTCAATGCCACACCACAGCCTGGAAATTCTTCCAAAGCACTGTCTTCAGGCAAAAGTGGGGTTCATGTTGCTGTCTCTGTGTCTCAGGTATCATTGTCCTTCATTGTTTGATAAAATCTGTCTTACAAACCATTATTCTATACACTTTGCCCCTTTTTTTGTTTGTTTATACATGTGGCATGGCATGTTTAGTCCTCAGGGGGAGGGTATTAGAATAGAGTTTTGCATATCTAGAGATGTGGATCATTGGGACGCATCTTAGGACCTGACTGTCATATCAGATCCTGTCCAATCTGCATCATTTTCTCAGTCTTTACTTATTTTGCTGACCTCGGCCCTTGTGAAAAGAACTTGTTGGGTATTTTGCAGAATGTATCACAATATGGATTTGTTATATTTTTCATAATTTGACTAAGATTATTCATTAATATATATGCATATTTAACTAACTTTGAAGAGAAAAACCTAAACAATATGTTATTTAGAAATACACATTTAGAAAATGATAAGAATGTAGTCATGATAAAAAAAGGGAATTCAACATCATAGTAACATTCACCAGGGTAAAAGAGAGAATGGAACTGGGGAGATATATACATGGCATATTGGTGTATCAACAGTGTGGATCACATTCTGTCATTTTGTGAGTAGATTAAGAAAAAACAGAAAATAATTTTTCTATTCTAGAATAATTTTAAGTTTACAGAACACTTGGAAGTCAGTATAGAGAGTTTATATATACACATACACACATATTCAACACACGATTTTCCTTATTGTTCACTTCTTACATTAGTGTGGGATATTTTTCACAATTATCACTCCAATATTATGCAGTTTCATTCACTAACAACTGTACATTAATTGTTCACTGATTTAACATTTAATTTAGTATCTGTTTTCTATTCCAGAATCATATCCAGGATACTATATCACATTTAGATATCATGCCGCTTTGTGCTCCTTTTGACTATGCCAGTTTCTCAGGACTTTTTGTTTTTCGTGATCTTTATCCACATTTGGGATTCATTATTTATGTTTTCTCATGATAAGACTGATGTAGGTTTAGGTAAGGAAGACCACAGATGGTAAGTTCCACACCAAGGGGAAGTACTATTGATATGCTTTGAAATTAGTGACATTAGTTTGATCACCTGTATGAGGTAGTGTAGGCCTTTTTCCCAATATAAAATTAATCTATTTCTTGATCAGGCACGGTGGCTCACACATGTAACCCAAGCACTTTGGAAGGCCAAGGTGGGTAGATCACAAGGTCAGGAGTTCAAGACCAGCCTGGCCAAGATAGTGAAATCCCATCTCTACTAAAAACACAAACATTGGCTGGGCGTGGTGGCAGGCACCTGTAATCCCAGCTACTTGGGAGGCTGAGGCAGAGAATTGTTTGAACTTGGAAGGCAGAGGTTGCAGTGAGCCCAGATCATGCCACTGCACTCCAGCCTGGGTGACAGAGCAAGATTCCTTCTCAGAAATAATAATAATAATAATAATAATAATAATCTGTTTTCTCTTTACCATGTTGCCCTTTTTTTTTAAGTCACTAAATACAAAACATACTTAACAAGTGGGAAATTATGCTTCAACTTTTTATGGCAGTACTTGTAGTCATGTTTATTTTCCATGGGCAAATTTTCTGTTCTCCATAATGCATTACATATTTATTTAATCATTTGAATCATATAGGATATTATATAAAATTATATAATTTACTGTATGCTATACTAATTTATATATTTTGTTGCTCATGGTTTCAGTGTTGGTCATTGGAAGGTCTTTCCCTTGGCTTCTGTAAAATTTGAAATTACATCATGCTGTTTGATTTTGTTTGGTTGGTTGGTTTTATTGTTCTTTAACATTATTTTACTTGCTAGAATTTTAAGGTGTTCCAGGCTAATTGTGTTGTTTTTTTTGCCCAATCCACGTATTAAGCATTTTTCATGGAATCTTAGTTGCTTGTTTCGGTGAATGGTATTAGAAGTAAAGATTTGGGTAGCATGTGCTCTCATTCCTACTTTCATGGTGAGACAGTTTGTCTTCTTTGTGTAATCATTGAGTCCCAAAATACTTGCATAGTGGTTTCAGAATTGGTAGCGGATAATATCTATACCAACTGAGTAAGATGCTCATGCAAATCACTTGCTCTTTAGGCTAGAATCGCTCTTTATTTCCTAAATTACTTGGGTCAGCCTCTTTTTCAGATATTGGGCAATACCCTCAATATCACTTCCTGCATTTTTTTACTTTATTCTTAGGGAATTTCACTTGATGCCA